AATCCAGGCAATTCTGGGATTCTGTGATATGAGATTTGCTGGTTGCACCTGTAGTCTTGACTGAGTCAGGCTAATTTACTTAAGAAACTGTATAAGAATCTAGAAATTCTGCTGTGGAGATGTAAATCTCCAGACAGGTGTTGTAAAGAAATGCAGGGATACGGCAGGTGGGGGTTTGTGCGCGTTACCTTGCCAGCGGGGTTATACTTCATGGCAAGTGCTCTGGAAGCGTGCTGCTTGAAAGATATCACCCAATCATTCAAAAATTATGGTGGTTTTTTTTTTTCTTCTTTTTTTTTTTTATTACATAAAAATAGGATGGAGGACAGATGGTGAGGGAATAGCAGTTAAAGCCACTGAACCAGTTGTTACTCCATTTTCAATGAAAACAGAATATTTGACTGAGGAACTATACTGGAGTTTGTTGGGTTGAGGGTTTGTTCTTGTCAGACTTCTGTCACAATGCAACAGCAGTGTTCAGCCATAATAATTCAGAAAATGGATATAACGAATCCCCCAGTGTTTTCTTTCTTAGTAATCTCTGAAGCACATAATGGGCATTGGTATACAGTTGATTTCTCCCACATGCTATTGTAATTTTGTTACGAGACAATCAAATTAAAACTTAAACCAGATCATTCCAATTATGAGAGCTGGGAATTCTTACAAATAAATTTTCTTGCAGTTTTTTTGCAGTGAACTGGCCCTGGCTCTCCAGAGAAGTAGTGGAGGTCTTTAAGAAAATTTATAAGTAGAATAGGTGTGTATATATCTTAAAAATTAAATTGTAATGTTGTCTAATTTCAGCTGTTAAAGAACATGAGAAGAACAAAGAAAGAAAATCCAAAGACTATGGAAGGTCCAAGTCAAAGAAAAAGAAAAAAAAGAAAAAGATAACTCAACCTGGTAAAGTCCTTTTTTCTTCTGTAGAGGAAAACCATTTCTTTATTTTGTTTGGCCTTTTATCCAGTTCCACACTCTTAAGAGCAGCGTTGCAGATATGACTGTTTCCTTCATTAATCTGTTAGTTTGGATTTTATTAGGTGGATAATGTTAAATTGTGATTGGCAAAATAATTTATTTCCTGGTTGAGGTGTATTGTTAATGCTGGATGATGACTTATAATCGTGCTTGTAATGGTACAGAATAAATCTAGCTCCAAAATGGATATCTCTAAGTCTGGCTTTTCATTAGCAAGTGTATTTGTGTGCAAGTTTTACCCAGTTAAAGAGGGTGCAGCTCCCCTTGGTTTGTTACCAAGTACACTGTGTGCCAGTTACAGGAGTTAGTTTTGGGGCTCCTGTATGAATGATGGAGTTTGGAAATGTTGATGGGTCCTCTTTCTGCCATTAACCTTGTTATTTCTTACATCTTCACCTAGTATGTAATTTTAGAGGCTGTGACAGTGAGCTATATTAGACCTGTCACATCCTAAATTTTTTCCCTAATGGATAAATCTTTCCTGTCCTGGAGAGATAAAGCAAAAGCCTGATTTAAAGTCTATACTCAAGCTATGTCCGTCATATTATTAAGTCTCATAATATGATGTTCTACCTACATTAGTAGCATTGTGGTTGGAACATGTCTTCTCTACTGATTTCATCTGCAGATGCTTAGGAATGCTTCCTTTGGACCACTTCATGAACTTCATATGTAGGCCCAGGTGTTACTGGTGATTGGATTCTTCACTTCTGAAAATGGCAATTGATTCTGAAAGATTTCTCTAGTGAAATGTCTGCAGATGAAACATGGCAACTTTCTCTGCCATTGATGGATTTCTGGAATCATTAGTGCAGCACATTTCAGTGTGACATTCATAATTTACTAAACTAGAGCTCCTTATGGAGAAGTTTGAGTCTGGAAAGAAAATCCCTTATTGCTGGCATGAAGAAGTAGGGCAAGCTGTCATGAGAGAGTAGAGGGAAAGAAAGAACCACAGGCAGACTCACTCAGAATGGTGCTGACAAATAGTTTCACAGAATCTCAGAATGGTTGAGGTTGGAAGGTACCTCTGGAAGTCATCTACTCCAACCACCCTGCTCAAGCAGGGATTCGTGAGTTTCTGATGACATGGTGCCCTGAATATATATAATGATAATATGCAAAGTATAATTTGTAAGTTCATGCAATGGTTGCACAAATAGTAGCCGCACACTGTCAATCTACCCTGGGGTTTTAAAATGTTGCTTGCCTTTTTTTGATGTTGCCCTTGTAGTTTTTCAGTCCAGGAGGTTTTCTCCAGATAACAGATCTGGGGGTACTGCTTGTAACTGCAGGCAGCCCTGGTTTATCTACAGTCCAGGACATGATGAATGGGTCCTTCATAGAGGAACCCGTTCTAGGTGTTTTCTCCACACCTTCCTAATCAGTGCTTTTCTTTTCCATCCGTACAGCCATTCTGTATATACACAAGGAAAACAAGAGATGCTTTCTGTCCACACTGTAGTCTGTGAGATTAGGGAACGTGTGTAGCCCATGTGAGTAATGGTGGGATATGAGGGAAAGGTCTCCAGGTAACAGTGCTTGTGTGGCACTGGTTTTGCCTATGGTGCAAAAGCATTTGCAGAGATCCTAGCCCTGAAGAATAGTTAGCTGTAAGTAGTCTTTTCAGCCTTCCTTACTTATGTCAGCAGTGAAGGATGACTGAGATGTGTAAGATTTTCCTGGTTCAGGCAACTTTCTTGCCTCTAGAAAGCTTGCATATCTTTCAGCAGCATAGACCATAGACCAGAGTCTTAGGTATTGGAGTGGAAACTTTCTTAATGAATTACAATGCCTGCTGTGGGCACACATTTTTTTCTTCTGTCAACTTTTCTTGACCAGATATTTCTAATAATAACGCTTCTTACAATTTTACAGAATGCTCTGGCAGTGAAGAAAACACAGATGTTTCGCAGGAGCTTTCTCCAGAAAAATCAATTGTCACAAAATGTCTTTCTTCAAGTAAGTCGTCTGCCCACCCAAGCACACTGCTCCACTGCTCTGATTCTGGACAGCACAGAGGAAAATCAAAAACACATGGTAAGATCACTCTCCTCTGTGGTTTGCTAGTTCTGTCTTTCATTACCAGTAAATATGTGAGTGGCACTAATATACACGAAAGCTGGTACGCATGGTGTAAATTTGGCTATTCTTACACAGAACTGTGTGTGTTTCCTTTCCCCTGCCTGGGGACATCAGAGCTTGATGTTGCTGCTTTTTGCTTTGACTTCACCTTCACAGAAGCATTCTTATTTCAGAACTCAAACTCATTTTGTGCCTTTTTGCAGCACCTTATTAGCTCTATAGTAACAGTGTTCAGACTTCAGTAATTAATTCTTCATATTTCCTACAGTTTCCTCAAAGTAATAACTCTTTCAGAGTTAAAAATAGATGCCGTGCAAGTTTTGTACACTGTGTGTGCTGTGTTTGAGAGACCACTGGATGTGGTATGTGTAGTTGTATGGATGCAGTATGATATATGGTTATAATGACTTTCTGAGCTGCATAATGATGAGAAGCTCTTAAGTAACTATTTGTTAGTGTCTTCATAGTACTTCATAAACAGAGCTCATAATTATGTGGCTGCTGTGTTCCAGCTTTCATAATTTTTAATCTTAGTCCACCTTGCTATTTACTGTTACAAGCAGGCACAATAAAAAAGGAAAACAAACATTTTGTTCTTTCCGTTATTCTTAAAGATCACAAATTTGAAGGAAATAGGAAATATATGACAACTTGATTAAGTACAGGAGCCTCAATGTACAGATACTGTTGGTGACCATTTGAAATTTTTTTTTTTTGACACAACTGTTTCATTGCTTGGTGTTAGGCATAGTTAATAATGTAACTATTAACTTCAGTTAATTCCTTTATATAGGGAAAAGAGGAAACATTAAAAACTACTGAAGTGCTGATGTTGATAATGTCTTAAAACATGTTCTGCACGTCTGATCAGTTGTGGGTTTTGGAGCATATTGAACATAGAATGTATTTGCAGTTTATTACTTGGCCATCAGTTGCTCAGACTTCTTTTGATCAGTTCGTAGACATTGAAAGAGGTGAAAAGTGTTGGAAATGGTTTTACCTAGTCCTGTTCACAATTCCTTTGCTGCTCTTTGCATCTGCAGAACTTGTACTAACAATAAAAGCAGTGCCTATATAAATAAGATCTGGTGTAACTAATAGTAAAGCTCTTGTGTAGAATGAAAGTGCAGCGTGCTTAACCTGTTGCTTCCAGAGTGCTTCAGGAAAGAGTCGTGTCTCAGAGATCGAATAAAACTTCTAACCTGAAAATTAACTAATGCATTGGGTCCTTGGACCCTTAAATTTGAGAAACAGGTGTTTCTCCAAAAGATCTAGTTTATACCACAGACTTGTTCTATTTCTACAGTCTTGTTTTAGGGGCTAAGTGATCCAAATCATTCTACCCAATACAGGTGAGAGACTGCAATCTAGTCGGGAGTGATGAAAATTTTTACCTTCCACTGTCATCTGGCTCATTAGAGTATTTCCCAAATAATTAAAAACCTTATCTCCTCCCTCTGACCCTCTTAGTCTATCCACAACGAATGTGTAGACATTACTTTAATGTTATTGAGGTAAGGATCTCAATTTAGCATCTTGTTAAATAAAGATTTTCTTGGGAGTTTTATTCAATCCACAGAGATGCATTAGTGCTTGAAGTAGCGTGGGAGCATTCTTAAAGAACACTTTGGGTGGTGCACTGCTCCTGGATTGATAAATATCTCCTCAACAGGAGTTTAAATGAAAATAATAATTTCTGCAGCAGAATTAAATTCTGTGTTGGACTCTGAATGCTTCTGTAGTGGAGACATTACTTTGTGAGATCTTATTTGGAAGATCTCACAATGACAGAACTCTTTTTTTTTTTTTTTTTTTTTTCCTTTGGGAGCTCTACACTTACAGTGCCCAGCTCTTTACAAAAATTTCAGAAGCTAGTATGAATCCTATTTGAATTTATAAATCTAGTTTTGTTTATTGTATTTACTTATCTAAAGAGGCTTTGTGCCTCTGATTTGAGGCACTGTGTGTCGAGAGTACAATTTTAACGACAGAAACTGTTAAGTTGGGATATTCTGAAGGAGCTATTGATGAGAATATAGAACTTCATTATGTAGTAACGTCAGTAAACTTACTGCTAATTGAAGGTTACTACATAATGTAGTAACATTGTGATGGTCCTTAAATTCCACAGTTAACTCATGCTTTTAGAAATGTAGGTCTGCATACTCGAGATGAAATCTTAAAAGTTTTTTTAGCTTTTTGTAATTAGTTGGGATTTTATCTGACTACTTTCTGCAGAGGATGACACCTTGAGTGAGTCGTCTATGGATAGCTTGCTTTGGAGTGATGATGACTGCAGTCAGGATGTTGATGTAACCACAAACCCTGACGAAGAAGTTGAAGAAAGCGATTTTGAGATTGTTCGGTGTGTTTGTGAAGTAAAAGAAGAAAATGACTTCATGATTCAGGTATGAGGCAGAGGGTGAATTCATGTTTCAGTGAGTACAGTGCGAGTTGTCAGTTGAAAAGCTATTGTAGAAATATGCACAGGTACGTTCTGTATGTGAAATATTGTTGTCCTCTGAAATCATAACATTTTTTAAGATAACCTGCCAGGGTGAACAGCTGCTGTGATAGACAGAAAACTTAATTTTTGAGACAGTTTATGAAAAATCTTCAGTTTGTTTTGGGTTGGTTTTTTGTTTCTTTAATTCAGTCAAAAATTCATTCAAACCACAGTTGGGTTGGTTTTGTTTGTTGTGGGGTTGGTTGGGTTTTTTTTTTGTTTGTTTGTTTTTTGTTAATTCAATCAAAGGAAAGTAGGGAAGATGAATAATTTTATACAAGCCATTAATGGTTGCCTTGTGGATTTGCATTTTTCTAAAAATTAGAACACTTCCTAATTTTAGAGAGTACATATTTAAAATCAGTGGCTTTTTATCTGGCTCTCTTGCTTCCCTGTAATTCTGAGCATGTTCAGAACACTGCAATGAGATGGTGGTACCCTCCCACTCCTCTGACCTGGCAAGAAGCTTGACTTAAACATACAATTCTCTAGATAGAATAAAGAAAAAAAAATCCTGACTTGAGTCTTTTTTTTATTTATTTTTGAAGCAGAGCTGCATTCATTCACTCTGCAGCTTCTGTAGTTTGTAAATTCAGAGTGCCTAATCTGCATAAGGCCATCTGTTTGTTCTCCATGTATGTACTCTTTTTAAACCAACGTTGCAGTAGACTGTTTCCAGCCAGAGCGGTGTCTATTATCTCTCCTGCTTAAAACTGTCGATAAAAGCCTCTTTGGAACTGCCCTGACTGTTAACTTTTGCTTTTTGAGATGTTTGTAAGTGATGAGGAAGCCATTGCCCACATAGCTCCTCTGAGCCATTCCATCCATCCAGTTCTCATTGCTTTCAAATGCTAGAATTAAACATAGCAAATAAAAACCTGCTTCAGCATTTTTTGCTTTAGTTTATTTTGCCACTGCTTCTTATGTGAGCTGCACGGTCCCCTTTGGTAATTCCACCTCAGTCTCAGAAGCAGCATATGCAGGCGCTTAAGCGTGGGATGCTCGTGAACCTAGATCATGAGCTTTTCATAGCTGCCCTTCTGAAGAAATCAGTTTTGAGTTGTTTGGTTGTTTGGGGTTTTTTTTTTCCTTTCTCTTTTCTTCTTTTTTGAGGGGTTTGGGTTTTTTGTTTTGGAGGCTCCCTCCCTTGCTGTCTAGTTACAGTTCAAAGTGACAGTATTGTTGTTTGGCACCTGTGCTCATTGCCAATTTTGAGGTAATTATTGCATTCTTTTGAGAAGGTTATTTTATTTGTGAAAGGATATGGCATGATACTGACTTCAGAAATATTTTTGTGGCACACAAAGATCACCCCCAGCTGCAGCTTTTGAATTCACTTTCCCAGGCATTCTGTTGCTAATTTTTGTGAGGTTTGAATCCTACATTATGTGTTCCACACACCTGTCAGCCAGGGGTTTTTGGGAAAATGTTTTGGACAGTCTGGTCTTCTGTTGTTGATGTAGAAATACCTGAATTAGCTCTTGAAGTACAGAGCATTAGTACAAAGCTGAGATGCTGTGTTTTACAACTTTGGAATTATGATGAGGGGAACCTATTTTCAGCTTTTCAGAGGTGTAGCGCTGAGATTGACACTTTGGCTTCATAGAGAGAATCTTGTGTAGTTGTCATAACTTCATGAGAAGGAAAGATTTCTTCCCTATTTTGTACTCAGACTTTAAGTTGACACTTGGAAACTTGAATTTAGAAGTGTTTACCCTAAAGAACTTGCATTTAGACTTGCCCTCTCTTCCTTTAGATAGGTAATTTTGCTCAGTGTATGGAGTTTTTAGAAGAATATTGTCATTCTTTGCACTTGTCTCCACTGGGGTGTTTATTCTGCCCCTGCTTCTTACTCTGACGAGATCTGACTGAGGTATCCTGACACTTGGGGTACATGTGCCAACCTGCCTTGACTTGGTATCAAAATTAGGAGTCAGGGCAGTTTCTCCATACAGTCTTCCCAGGATACGTGTATGGTGCCCTCTTACAAGAGGGAGAATGAGAAGTGATTTTCTCTTTGAACTGTACTCGTTTCTGTGAATGTGTCAAATTTAGAAATACTGAGGAAAAAATGTTAATTTTAAAAACAAACAGCACCTTTATTTTTCCTGAAAGATTAGGGACCACTAACGTTTAATGAAACTCTTAGGCATTTAAACTGAGAGTTTGTCTTTAGGTCTTTAAACTAATAATGAAACCCCCCAAAAATTCAGCTTAGAGAGTTTACAGAAAAGCTCTTTCTTATCTTGACCTTGCCTTAAATTGTCTTTATGCAGTTTGTGCATAAAAAATACCATTCATTACACCAGTACACAAAAATATGGTTTTGCATTTAAGTACTTACCTCAGTTAGTAGAAGTTAAAACTGGGAAAAGAAGTATAAAAAGAATAGCTACCTGGTCAATGCTGTTTCATTCTGGTCTCTGTAGCTTTGCAGGGAGGTTACTAGTTTTTATTTATGGAGCCTGTGTAAAGTAGTAGTCTCACATTGCCATGTGCTGCTTCCAGAGGCACAGGACTCCCTTTGTAGGGTAAGGCTTGGGCCCAAAAAAGTCCAGACAAAATGTCATTGTCCCTTTCTTTTGGTTTTTATACCTGAACATTGGTGAATTTTTGTGTGATTTACAGAATTTGGGGGCTGGATTTGGTGGCCTTGGAGGTGGTGGATGTAAATGAACTTGGGATATTTTTGTTCTGGCAGATGAAAAGCTATTTTAAATACATGTCCATTGGGTTGGTTATTTCTTTCACAGTTGAACTGCGATTTAAAGATTATTGTACAACTCTGCATGTTTTTTCTCTTCAAAATATCTTACTGGCTTGCTTCAAATCTCCCTACTACTGCCTGGGCAGAGGGTTAGCTTCTACGAAGCATATGTCCAGAGCAACAGCCTGTAGCCTGGCCAGCCAAGCTGTGGAGTAGGACATGCAGGTTAAAGGAGGGACATGTGCCTTCATAGGCTGGATATTGAAATATCAGCTGAGTAAAATAAAAAAGTTGGGATGATTCATTAGAGTGCCTGGAAAAATCACTGAGTGGAGCTCTGTTACATATGGCATGATTTATAGGATGCAAGTGCAACTAGATCCAGGAGCTCCCTTACTTCTAGCACACCTAGATCCAGGAGCTCCCTTATTTCTAGTACACAGTCTATTTTTCTTAATCTATTTCCTTTCTTTTAGCACACCTTTTTCTGGCTCCTACTAATCATCTTTATGAAAAGAGGATTATCTGTCAGCCTTTTTTGAAAACATCTCCTTATTGTTTCAGGACTATTTACCTGTTTTGTAAGGCAAAACATTTAGTCCAATCTTTCAAAAACCTGTTTCTCTTTAACCTTTCACATTCTCTGTTCCTAGTGCTTGTGTTTCCTCCACACCCAGACCACTCATTTCATACAATGACGTAGGCAAAAACTGGTGGTCCCTTTCCGTCTCTCCTCGCTTGAGGAAAGGCAGTGGATAAGAGGAGCATTAGTAAAAGTGGTCTGAGTGGTGTTCAACACAGATGAGATGTTTAACAAGTTGGCATCTTCATAGGTCAGTGAAGATCAGGATCTAAGATTGCTTGTAGCTGCTCCTTGTTTGGTTTAGCTCATTTTGAAAACCTCTTCCAGTGTTGATGAGATCGCTGCATTAAACTTTTGGCTTGTGCTCTGAGAAATAAGGGTCATGATCTATCGTCTCACTGCTTGTGAAAATGATAATTCTCAACTGACACAACAATTTCAAATCAAAATTAATTTCTTATTCTTATGTGGGGGTTTGTCCCATGATTCAGTGGTCTTTAAGCTACAGTTGAAGTTTTGTCTGCTTGTTAAGTCAGGGTGGGGAAGTGAAACAGAACATGTGGATATGTTTTTTCCTACTCTAAAACTGTACAGCTCTAAGCACAGTGATTGTATTTTAAATGGCATCACTGTGCTAAAAAAGTAGGGCCAAGTTATATTCAGTCTTTGCCAATATGGTTGCTCACACTCAGAAGGAGGTAAGAAGACTTTAAAGCTAGTGCAACTGCATCTAAAAACTCTAGTTTTATATTAGTAGAGCCATGTTAGAAATACAGGTATCAGTAAAGCACAGTATTGGCTAGTCCTGTGTGACATAAATATCCTTTGGATTTTATAGTTGAATGTGATTTACTGTTGGAGGGGGAAACCTTTTAATTCAGAAAGCTTGATATATTTTGCTAAAGAAAGCTTGATTGTGTATTGTTTTCTGTCCTGGTTATGTGTGCATGCATCTTGTGAAAGGTTTTAATCTCCAAAGAGAACATTTGTGCACTTTTCAGGATCTCTACTTCCACTTTGTAATTGTTATCATCCTCCAGAAATGCATGTGAAAAATGTGTGGGAAGAGTTCAAACTTTATTGTACTCTAATTTTTTTAAATGTATTTGCTTGTAACTAGAAGAGGGAGGTGGGCATTAATACAACTTCTTGTGTTAAAAATGTGCAGATGATGTCTCTTAATTGAGGTAATCTTACTGAGCTCCTGTGGGCTTCATTTCTGTTGATGTGCACTTCTTGACTTTAAACAGTGTGAAGAGTGTCTGTGCTGGCAGCATGGAGTCTGTATGGGTTTACTGGAAGATAATGTACCTGAGAAATATACCTGCTATGTTTGCCAAGATCCTCCAGGTACAGAAATTTAAGGTTACAGAGCCTTCTTATTTATATGCAGTAACTTTATTAGTTTTTATATACATATATATTTTGCAAAGATTAAACAACTTTTTTTTTTTTCCTCCTAACTGTGTTTGTTATTATAGATAATTGAGTTCAGTCATAGACACAGAAAACTCAATTTATGTGAATGTACATGAGTCAATATTGTGGGATTACAGCTGGACGGGAATGGAAGGGAATGTTTTAACTGTGATGTCTGTCTCTCACGTGTTTGCCAGTAATAAGAATTGTACTGTTTGACTATGGAAAATGAGTTTAGAAACACTCAGGAAACTTAAGCAAAGACTCCCCGTGGGCACATCTTGCGGGATGTGACTGCAGCTTTCCTCCAAGACCAGGCTTACGCCTTCTTTAAAATAATCGGCAAGAGGCTCGCTGGTTCTGAACAGCCGCGATGCGCTGGTGCTCCTTGTGGAAAGGCACTTGCAATCCATTTATAGCAATGCAAATATAAATTATCTTGAGTAATGCAGTCAAGAGTTGATTAAGCAATACATTACTCCTAACCATGTATTTTAAAATGTCTTGGTCCATCCTGTGGAGCAGGTAAAATTACACTTACCTTGTGGTCCTTTTCTGATTTCCTGCTTTATGAATCATAAAACCTTGCTGGATGTGGAAAGAGATGAGGTTTGGGCTTGAGGCCATGTTCATAAATAATGAAAAAATGGGATCTCTGCCTAATCACAAGACCTTTTTGGTTTATATACATATTTGGATTGTGATCTCTGCTTTTTTTTGACTGTTTAAAACTACCACGTCTTTAGTAGCTTCACTCACCGATTTGTGTGGTTTGTATGTTAATGTTGTTTGTGCTCGTAGCAAGGAAGACACACTATGCTTAATGCTCTGTTATCTAAGTAGTAAAATAGTTTTAACATTTATTTAAGGGGTTTTCTTACAGTATCTTGCATCCAGGATTTTAACCCACTGTTTTCAAGATGTTTTGCTTTGATTTGTCTCAATTTGAATTAGTTTTAAACTTAACTGAAGTGCACATGCAAACTTAAGTCATGCCATCACACTTGAACTATTTGTATTTAGTAAGAAACTTTATCAGAATGCTTTTTGGTAAAAACTGATTACAGCTAACACTTAACTTGCTTCATTAGTTTAATCACGTTTATTAACTATTGCTCTGAAGACCCTGTAACTTACGTTTTTTAATTTGGATTTAATTTTTACCTCTGTCGTTGAAAAAGAATATATATCCAGTGTTTTGACTGCAAAAGTGGCTTCTCAATTTCAGTGAATCTGCTGCTGGCTTGAGAAGAGCTAAATAGGCTTTATGAATCTTCAAAGAAGTTGCTCTTAAAACTGAACGTGGCCATTCAACAAACTCTTACTAAGGAGCTTTTCCCACTTTAGTGCTGGGACTTGTAACAGCTCCATTCCTGTTACTGGAAATAAAAGCACATTTAGTGAAATTATCAATCTCAGACTGGTTTGGGTTGGAAAGGACCTTAAAGATCATCCAGTTCCAACCCCCCTGCTGTGGACATGGTGGCCAACCACTAGATCAGGCTGCCCAGGGCTGCATCCAACCTGGCCCTGAATGCCTCCAGGGATCGGGAATCCAAAAGCTTCTCTGGGCAACCTGGGCCAGTGTCTCACAACCCTCTGGGTGAAAAATTCCCTCCTAATATCTCACCTAAATCTCCCCTCTCTTAGTTTAAAATCATTTCCCCTTGTCCTGTCACTCTCTGCCCAGGTCAAAAGTCACTCTCCCTCCTGTTTCTAAGCTCCCTTCAAGTACTGGGAGGACACAGTGAGGTCTCCCCAGAGCCTTCTCTTCTCCAAGATGAACAAGCCCAGCTTCCTCAACCTTTCTTCATAAGAGAGGGGCTCCAGCCCTTGGATCATCTTCCTGTTTCTCCTCTGGACCCACTTCAACAGCTCCACATCTTTCTTGTGCTGGGAGCTCCAGGCCTGGATGCAATACTGCAGCTGGGGCCTCCCAAGGGCAGAGTTGAGGGAGACAATTATTTTATCACCCTGCTGGCCACCTCTCATTTGATGCAGCCCAGGACACAGTTGGCCTTCTGGGCTCCAGTCGCACGCTGCTTGCTCGTGTCAAGCTTCTCCACCAGGATTCCTAAGTCCTTCTCAGCAGGGCTGATCTCCAGGAGCTCTTCTCCCCGTCTGTAAACATACCTGGGATTGCCCCAACCCAAGTGCACTTGGCCTTGTTGAACCTCATTAGGTTTTTGTGGGTCCACTTTTCAAGCCTGTCCAGGTCCCTCTGGATGGCATTCCTTCCATCTGTTGTATCAACTGCACCACTCAGCTTGGTGTCGTCATCAATCCCACCATCCAGGTCATTGATAAAGGTGTTGAGAAGCACTGGTCCCGAGACTGACCCCTGAGGGGACACCACTCATCACTGACTTCCACCTGGCCATAGAGCCATTCACGACAACCCTTTGGCTGTGACCATCCAACCAGTTCTTTATCCACCGCATAGTCCAGCCTTCAAATCCATATCTCTCCAGTTTAAAGATAAGGATGTGGTGTGGGACTGTGTTGAAGGCCTTGCACAAGTCCATGTAGACAACATCAGTTGCCCTTCCTTTGTCCACTGATGACTAAAACCTGTACCAACTGTCATTTTAGACAGGGTTTTTTTGAGTCAAGTGGGATTTTTAAGAGATTTGTTAACATTTACCCTTGCTTAAACATTATCAAGATGCTTCTGATGTGACAGATTTGATCATTCAAGCCCTAGAGAGTGCACACTGGTGGATATTCTTGTGTCTTCTCTTAAGCTTATACACCTAGAGAGACAGAGCACTTTTTGTCTCAGAGTACACCGCTACGTAAACATGGCCATGGATGGGCTGCAGTTGGATAATCTCAGTGTTGTTAAAATGACCGTTGAGTTCTAAAATTCCCAATTTAATGCTTGTGGACTGAACTTCATTCTCTGTCACAGATGGTAGCTTCTCTAACGGAAAAATAAATACGGAGAGGTTAATACAGGTATGTCAGGAATGTCTCCAAAGTGGTTCTGGCCATACCTAGAAGATCACTTGCTTGCTACAGCGTATCTACCTGAAAAGTTGAGCTGTTATAACCTTGAAAATTTGTACTTCCCTGTGTTGGGTTCTGTTTTTGGAGGTCTTGCCTCAATTGAGCATTGTCCTGCACAGCCTAGTAGCTGGATGTGCTTACAGACACACTCGTTTGCTTTTACTCCTTCACTGAGACAAAGCGTTGGTATTGAAGTTAAAGTTTCAAAGTGTCCTTTATGTCCGTGGATGCTCATACAGGGCATGATGGAGAAATCATTTTGCTGCCATTCTGTAACTACCATCCAAAAGCACAGAAATACCCGTGACCAAGTTCTGCTCATTTCTCAGTGCAGCTTCTGAAGAGTTGGGAGAGTAAACAGCACGGGCAGCAATGCTCCCTCATGCACACGTAGTGCAACCCCTTCGCCTTACTCTGCTGCCTAGAAACTTGGGTTTTTCAAGCTTCCCCTTCTCTGCCAAAACTTCTGTCAGTATTAACCTGCTTATATTGGAGACTTCTTTGTGAATAACGTTCTGAGTCTGCTCCAGTGTTATCTCTGATCTTGTAGGTTCACTGACCGGGCTGTGTATAGGCGAGTGGATGATGTGGTGTTTCTCAGGGTGCTGAGCTGTCTGAGAACATCTGTTGTAACAACACATTTTACAGGGTGTGGGGGACTTTTGGTGGGGTTTTGGCTTGGATTTTTTTTTTGTTTGTGTTTTTGCAATTCAGCAAGCATCTCAAGTTCCACTCTTGCCTGCTATACCTTTTTGCTTGGCTTCTTAAGTCACTTTTACTGATGCATTTATCACATTTAACATAATTTCATTTCAGCTGTTGTTCATATATTCCAGACTCTTAAGCTAGAATTCACATTATTAATAGCTTACTTTAGGCAAGTTCTCCACCAGAACCTCATCATTGTTGCCTTTAAAATTTACTGTTGAATGACTGTACTAATACCCGTACGATGCTTAAAAACAAGACCGCTGCAGAAGGGAAGTTCACTGCCTTTTGCTGTATTTTTCTGTCTGCAGAAAGCTGGATTCAAACTGCAGCTTTAGTTGCAATCATGGCTCCTCAGCAGCGTTGATACCCTGCTAAAAATCCCCTCTCCTCTGTGCATCAGCTGCACTTACCTGCTGTGGATGTCCTGTGATGGAATTGGGGGTCTGAATGCTTTTACAGTTGGGCAGAGGTTTTTGACTGAGGTTATCATCTCACTTCCCACTTCACAAGTTCTTCATGTCTTCGGGGTTTTGTCTGTTCTCATAAGATCTTTATTGGTACTGTTGATAAGAAAAATAAGCTGTTGCAAGACTTTGAGATAATTGGGATTACCACGAGTAATGTTAACATGCCATAGTTAATGCTTCATTTTAACACGCTCATTACTGTCGCTTTAGGTCAGAGGTCCAGCTTAAAGTACTGGTATGAGAAGGAGTGGTTAAGTAATGGTCATATGCATGGCTTAGCGTTTCTGGAAGAAAATTATTCCCACCAGAATGCCAAGAAGATAGTAGCCACTCACCAACTTCTTGGCGATGTACAGAGAGTGATAGAAGTACTGCATGGACTGCAGCTGAAGATGAGCATTTTACAGTAAGCAGCATTTAAGTCTTAGTCGGCATGTTCTCTATGTGAATTAAATTTCAAATAGTAGAAAAATAACTAGAAATTGAGACTTATTTTTGTACTTTTTTGTGGGTATATAACAACATAGTTTGAATTGCTGATGTGATCTTGGGAAAGGACCTGGCTGTTTAAAAACTATTTGAGTGTGTTGAGGAGTGTAAAATGACTATGTGTATAGAAGGATCGGGGAAGTATGAAGGGAAGAGGGAGAAAACTAATAACAGCTTCTCTCTCCTAAAGCACGTGGACAGATTTAAGTAGCAGGAAAGAGGATAGGCATATAACCTATGGCAGCAGTCTTACAACTCTTACCTTCCCCATTCCAGTAATTCTAAATCACAGCTCTTCCAGCAGAAATCAGATCTTTTTGTTTGGCATAATGTGTTGTAGTGGGAGAGCAGTTGTACGTTCAGCAACCTGTAGCAATTCATTTCTATGCAAAGATTATTACAGAGATAGATATATATATATATATGAAAAAATAACATATTCTGTAATCACTGTAGAAATTGAGTTTTCTGCAGCCTTTCCTGTTTAAAGTCATCCTTGGGTTCTGATGACTGCAAAAAAACCTCAACATTTTCTAACTCAAATCCAGCAGTTCTAAATCTATTGAATTCCATACTTTTAATTTATTAGTTGATAAATTGCACAGCAGCAGCTATTTGGAAAGCAAAGCTTTTAGTGTTTCCAGTGTTCTTTAGATCTTTTTCCCTTAAATTTAGTCTGGGGTGATGCAGTAGGGTTACTGGCAGTACCTGAAATGCTTGAACAACAGAATAATGCTTAAAGCAAAGGAGTAGCAATTTTAACATATGTTTTTTCTTTTCCATTATGATATCCTTTAGTCAGATCTGTAAGTAATCTTTTTAAGTAATCTCTGGAAAATAAATATTGTAAGACCACTCCTTAGACCTTTTCTTAAATAGCAAGACTTTAGATAGTGACTTTCTAGTAGTAGAGTAGATGGAGATTTGCAGAGCACGGAAGTGCACCGAGCACAGAGCGCTGGGCAAGTATGTGCTGCTCCTTACAGGCTTTGTTCCTGTTCTCTCCCGTCCTGAATCTGGAGTGATGACCTAGTTTAATTAAGGAGGAGGTGTGGTCCTCTTAGGACTGTTGTTGAAAGCTATAGCCTCTGTTGTCTTTACCATTACATAAATCAGAAAAGATTTTTTTAAATTGCTGAATTAGAAGAATTATATTGTTGATGCAGAACTACTGTCTAGGGGAGAGGAGGTAATTTTACAGCTGCCTGAAATTATCAGGAGAGTTGCTCAGTATTTCAGGGAGGTGGCAGAGGATCAGATGTTGACAGCTTTGGTGCAGTGGAGGGAGAGCCAGCCTTCTGAAGGCAGTAGTTAAAAGGTTGCTCAAGTATTAAGCAATGAATTTTCATCCTTATGTAGCTGGCGCATCATCTTTCAATTTTGTGTCTTCTGTAAAGTTATCCCTTGCTCTTTGCTGAGAAAAATAGTGGCTTTAGGTGTAGAGTATCAGTGGAGCTGGAATAGAAAGCTTTGGTAAATGACCACTTGGCTTTCACTTCTCTAGGCGTGCTGGTGGGGTTGCTCACCAAGGAGATCCCAGACACAGCTCCCTGGAGGCAGAGGCGCTGGGATAAAGTCCTTGGCACTTGTGCCAACTGTAGTCTCCTCTGGCAGACACTGGAGAAACCTTGGCTACTCTCAGGTGGATTAGAAAGCACTTAGGAAGTAAAATGGTGATGTTTTGTTGAGTGGTTTGGCTAACAGCTGGAAAAGCTGGATCAGTGTAATGGAGTAATGCCATCTGCCTTTGCGAGGGAGCCCGGAGCAGGGTTTTGGGGCAGAACCCCTCCTTTCTGTACAGTGAATGCAGGTGCTTTAGGGTCAGGATTTGCTTCTGCTGCGTTTTTGCAGCCAGTAGCAGATGAGCTGCCTACCCTTGGAAGATAAGCAGATTGATTCTGCTTTGCTCTCCTTTTTACTGCTGTTTTAATGCCTGACAGACATGGAAGAACAGTATCATTTTCAACCCTCACTCTAAATTTTTGTTTTATATCCATGTAAGAATCTGATACCTATAGTTGTCTCTGCTGCTGGAATAAATAACCTATTAGTCAATTTGAAAACAATTAAAGCAAGAATTTTTGTAAGAAGCAGGTGGGGGGACTATGGCATGTTGTTGTACCAGGCAGTGAATTTGCTCAGCATCTTGGAATTTAAAGGAAAGTGAAAGTTGTAAAGGAATTAATAAAGAAGTTCTACATCACACCTTCCCCAGGTCCCCCATTATTGTTGTTATTAGAGGGTTAAAAAAAGATCAGTGGATTGAATTTTAAAGTTTAATTTGGGGATCTACAGGTTAAAGTTTTTGATAATGAGTGGTTTGAGGGTGTCTTTTTGTTTTACTGGTGTTTAAAATTGTTAGGTGTACTTAACTTACCTGTTTAAAATACTGCTGAAAATATCTCAGTTTGTGTGTTAATAAATTGCAAATATTGAAGCAAAATGCTCCTTCAAGGGTAACATCGGTGAAAAGATGTATGTATCTATTTGAAACTTTTTCTTCAGTTTTTTTCTTAATGCCAACACTTGGCTTATACCATGTTAGAGAAATGAAAGTAGTGAACCTCATAGAACGTTGTAGGAAGATACACAATTGAGGTCAGTGAAATTATATTATTTCAGAATATTTGTGTATTTTTTACTGATTACAGTGACTAAAGCCTGTAGTAGTTCAAATATTCTTACTCAATTTCTTTATATAATAGGATAATTTGCTCAGTCCCTTTGGAGTTTAAATTCTGTGGGTGTTTTACTTGTTTTATGTTTGAACAGAAATAAAGAACATCCTGACCTGAAGCTTTGGTGCCATCCGTGGAAGCATATTACAGTGGATGAAAAAATTCATACCAAACACATCGTTCACATTGAGGAAAACTGTTGCAAAGAGGAAACGGCGAGTTATAGAACTTGGAATGGGACAGTTGAGAAACCCTCAGCCATTCCTTCTGTGGAGGAATCCTACATTACGAGTGAACACTGTTACCAGAAGCCTCGAGCCTACTACCCTGCGATAGAGCAGAGACTGGTTGTGGAGACGAGGGGCTCAGCCATGGACGATGGAGTAAATAGGATAAGGGAAAACGGGGAAGACGCTCTGTCAGAGAGATTTGGCTGGAATCTAGACCGAGAAATATGCAAGATGGAAAATGAATCCAAACACAACTACTCTAAGGTATTTGTATTAAAATAACCCTCTCTGCATAGAGGATGTGTTTGCCTGACAAAGTGCAAAACTCAACGCTTTTTAATGGCATTTAGTTTATTTATTTCTGTTTAGGTTTTTTTTTCCTATACTGTTTAAGTTACCAATATAAATTAAAATTATAGACATGATCAAACCCCCCATTTTAACTTATAACTAAAAAAAAAAAAAAAATCCAGGTTGAAGAGGACTTCTGGACCTTAGATCATCTGCACAGTCTGTGGAACATCCGTTATGGTCACCAGCTGTTCATTGTTTCCTACTTGTATGTGTGTTAAACGTAAAAATAAACACCAAGAAGGATGTAGAGAAAGAACAGGGCAAGCATGTATAGTAGTATGAAATACACTGGTGTTCCAGCTTTTAGTTATTTTCATCTTGTTCCCGTGTTTATTTTAATAGTTGTGTTAACTAGATTCCAGGTTCTTCAGGCAGCCTGAACTGATTTTTAAGAATTGAATAGTCCTCTATCTTCTTCCTCCTGGAGCTCTCTAGTTCTGTCTTTTCAACTCTTGGTTCTTGTTTTCAGCTCCATCAGCTCTATCAGAGGCCTGACTTACTACACCCCAGTGCAAACATTTTGCTTCGATTAGTTAGTGCCAAGTCATATGAAATGTGGCCTGACAAATGTTAGAAAGCCTCTGGGAAATGCTGACCTCCCTTTTTTTTAGATTAAAAGGTTGTTCATGCATATGAGAGCTGTAATTTATGCTCTTTTTAACTTCTCTATCACATCAATTGGCATTGCTCTATGTTACCCAGAAGGCATCTATTTTAGTTCTTCAGCCTTTTAGGGGCCTTTTTCTAAATCCTGTCGTATTTCAGCAGAATGATGACAAAAGTAGGGGCGTAGAAGCAACACTGCTGACAGTGTAGTCACGTTTTATAAGTGGTGGTAATGTGTTTTTCTAGATGCTTTGATTAAAGTTTTAGTAGAATTGAGACTAGATTTCTTCAGGAAAAATCACTTCTCACTGCAAAATCATTTGCTTTTTAGTGATGCTTTTTTAACTGTCACGTTAAAAACAGCGTTGACGTTCCCTAGGATGCACAGATTAAGTACAGTATCTTCCAGCTGGAAGTTGGCAGGGAGCAAGCTGTGTGTATATGTGTTATCTTTTGAAAAGGAGATGCTTGTGAAGTGCAAAGAATAGGTCTTGGCAAAATACTTATAAAAGTCTCTATTTAGCTCCTCTTGCCCAGACTGTCTTAATATTTGTGTATGATCTCTTGTGTGTGTCTCTCTCCTCCACTAGCCTAAGATTAATTGAGCAATTAGCTTGGGTAACTGTAAGGACCCAGAGTCTGGCTCACCAATTCTCTTTCACTGTAATAAATATTAATATCTGTGTTTCTGCTAGGTAAGAGAGTCTGTCTCTAAGAAGGTCTCTCCAGAGGAAGCGATGGAAATGAAATTACTGGAAAAAGACAAAGAAGGGGTTGTGAACTCACAGCTGCAGTGGCAGCTTAATCTTTTAGCTCATGTGGAATCTCTGCAAGATGAAGTCATCCACAGAATGGATTTCATTGAGAAGGAGCTAGATGGTAGGTAACGTTTTTCTATTTCAAAAATTAACTGTGTTTAACTGAACTACCTGTTTGAAACATGTTATCTTGAATTTTATTTCTGCAGACCTACAAAGAGATGAGCGTTGCTTTGTCAGATTTTGGAAAATAGACATGCTGCTGATGTTGGGGGGATAGATCTTAAAGCAAAGATAAAATTAAAACTGAGAAGAATTTTATAGAAGAAGTTCTAGTTAGATCATCTCTCAATACTTGCATCAGATGATGTAGTGGAATATCTTCAAGGTCTTTTTGCTTTCAGGTTTTTATCATTTCCCATAGCACTTCCGTGTATCCAAACTCCCCTGTTCTTCCGGGTCTTGCTGGCTGTTTCAGCCTATTCTGGGTGGCCTCTTTGGTGCACAAGGCTCTTACCTTTCTCTGTCTCTTCCAAATTCTTAAATGTCTCCTGAAATTTGTTTTCCTAGTAAAGGGAAACCTCTAAACCCTTTGTGTTACATTAAACAATCCAGGACGGTTCTTTCTCTTCACATCCTTAAGTCTGACCATTGGTCGTATAGTGGTTACAGCAGCAGCTTTTCTTGCAAGGGTATTGGGAAGCTAACGTTGCTGAAGCAGGAGTCCTCTCTCTGGTTCAGTCAAGTACTGAAAAGCTGAATGACTAAAGGAATATTTCAGGCAGTGAAGGTCAGTCAGGCCTGTTGTGGT